CTCTTGAAATGAGGTCAAATCATTCAAGCATCACTGGCGTTAGCTCAGTGGCGTTAGCTAATCTGGGGTCTGCAGGTAGCGTTAATAACGCCAAGGACGTGGCGTAGTGAGTGGCTTTAACTACGCCACTGCCTAGTTCACACACAAAGGCGTACGCTACGCCAGGCTTAAGCCAGCCTTACGCCGTGTGTGTGAACATAGCCTTATTCACCCAGCATCAAAATCAGCATCTGGTGGCTATTTAAACAAATTTAATCAACGGCAAAGTAAACTAATTTTGTTTATGTGTTGCTGCATGATGGTCTGTATGTTAATAGCCACCGGAGGCAATCTGTGTGGTAACAGACAAGACAATTAGTGTCAGAAAATTCTAATTCAAAAATTTTCTATTTTCTTCTCACCATAATAAAAATAATTCACCACTCTAACGAGGTAATACTGATTGGATGATATTGAACCTGCTTGGAGTGGTACTAATTAGTTGCTACCAACATTCAAGATTTCTAAAAGCATTTAGAGATGATTATCAATCATTTCTTAGGCACTGTACAAATTGATTTCCATCCATTCCCAATGTGAATATTATAAAAGTGAAGCTCCAAAACTACAGTACTAACAAATTATTATCATTTTATATAATACAAATTTATACTGCATCAATTCCAAAAAAGAAATGATCAAAGTTACAGTGAATGTTAAGGCAAGGTGTTAAAAAATGAGTTCTAAAACTTGGTCCACACTATCAAATTTTCTTTGACAAAAAACTGTTGTATGTCCATATATAGTGATGATGTGCCTATATATGGTCATGATGTGATGTCATCATGACCATATTTAGGCATGTCACATGTTTTTGTCAAATAATATTTGATAGTCTGGAGAGGGCTTACCATTAGTAGGCTGCCATTGATTACAGAATAAAGAACAAATCAAATATTTTTGTTTTTTTATGGATATGATGAAATTGAATGAAAAAATAAAACATTGCAAGTTGAGTGTGTAAATAAGGATATTGAATCACTGATTTTACAGGATAATTTTTGTCCAATAGTACTGTTGGACCACAAATTAACAGTTAGTGACTTAGTGAATATAAGGGGCCTTACTCACAGGAAAGTGCAGCACTTAGTCACTGCTATTCAGTGATGTCTCCCTTTGCTCAGTGTATTTCACAGCATACTGTATTTATCCCAATTAAATCTTTCCTTGTTGTCTTATATCCAAATATTTGTCTTACAGTAGCAGATTTATCCCAGATTTATCCAATGTTTGTCATAGATCCCAATCACACTTACTATGTCAGCACATGGCTACCGTAACTATGGCCGACTCAAAACTTTGCAGTTAGTATTTTAAGTCGGCTGAGTGTTGCACTGCGAACATTCACACTTCCTGCTTTGAAGTGGGTTTTGTGTGAAATTTTATGGTAAAGATGTCAAAGTAGACTGCTATCAAAGCTATCCCCACAGGTGATTCTCCCCACATATCAATATATCCTCATATCACTTCTTCTCTTCTAAACGTGTCCCACCATTTACATAATAAATGTTTATTTTTAATCTAACAACCCTCCCACATATAAATATATCCTCATATCACTTCTTCTCTTCTAAACGTGTCCCACCATTTACATAATAAATGTTTATTTTTAATCTAACAACCCTTGAAATAGGCATACCTATTCTTTGTTTATGTTGATGTAAGCTTGAGACAAATGCCATAGTGTGATCCTACTTTATTTCCATTTTCTGTTTCAGTCTCATTTGTTTTCTATTTCTTATTTGATATGAACATTGTCTGAAATAAAAGGAATTGATTGATTGATTGATAACCAACCTATCCTGGTATTTCCTGCTCTTTTAATATTATAGCCTGGTTCATGTCGAACTTTATCTAGATATACCGTCTTGAAACATGATACGATAATCCCCTAATTGCGTTCGATGCCAAGTTAGAGCCAGATAAACAGTCAGCCAGTTTCAGGCCGTCGACGTCACATGGTGGAAAGGCTTGTTTAATAAAACCTCTCTACTGTATTTTACGAACCTCTATTACCAAGTGGTATTCGTTCAAAAAAAATTGTAAACTACTGTAGAGAAGGTGTGAGTTTCCACTACCTAACCTAGCAGACCAGTACGAACCAACAACAGTGCAGCAGCGTGTTCTATCGCAATCTAAGTAGTAGTAGATTCTCTAGGCCCTAGCTAAATTTACCTTCGATAAAAAACGAATCATTTTAATCGCTAGCTAGCATTCTTCAATTTAACAAAATATTGTTTTAATTTTCATTAAAACGTCTGTATACTTTATGGACCTTTCTGTCCTGTTTTGTAGTTTTTAGATCGCTCAATTGTGTTGTTTACATGCACTTCGCGAAAATCTAGCTTCGCGGTGTCGAATAAGTTGCTGACTTCCACACACTTTTTTATTTCGTCATCGTAAACATGTGCGCTCATTTTAACGACTGCCGTTGGTGGTAGTTCGTTGAAACTGAATTAATAGCGGCTATTATTATAGCAGAAATGGAAAAGATTGAATTGTCAATAAATAAATACAACAAATCTGATTTTATTATTAAGAAAAATATACATTATCACTTTGGAAAATGTACGCAATTGGACTTTTTAACATTATTACTTGGTCGATGATGCAAAGGTCATTGGTAATATCGACTATTCATAAAATGGACGTTTGCTTGATTTTTACCCATAATATTAAAAAATAATTTCTGAAAACCAGACTAATGAGACTACTTTGATGCTGTTAGCATTGTTGGAGTACAATACAACAACAATACAATGGTGGTACAATAAAACAACGCTGGCTTAGATGCCTACGTTACGTAATCATGTCTTTGTAATCCGAGCCGACTTTACGTTAAGCAAGTTAATTTACCGTTATTCTAGTAAAGTTAAGTCACTTAACTTTAAGTCACTTAAGCCTTTATCTAGCTATAATTGAGTGGTTCACGTCGAACTTTTAACTAGTTAAGTGGATATATATCTAGATAAAAGTTCGAACGTGAACCAGGCTATTTACCCAAACATTTTCATTATCTATATCCCTTTCCCCCTAACATTGTTCATAATCGATCTATCCCAGTGTGTCATGGATAGATTTTAATTTGTTATATTATCGTACATTGTTCATCAATAAGACATGGAACAATTATCTTTATGCCCTAGTTTTTAAAAATTACATAGGATTGTAATGAAAAGCTTATAATTTTAATTTTAAATCCTTATTATTGTATGTAATATGAAAAGTAGCTTTGAAAAAGTTGACTTTAGTAATTCAATATATAAACAATCTTATAATCCTGTAATCCTATACAATCTCATGCACTCCCTAGGGTATGTATAAGAACTGTACTGTTAGCCTGACGTGTAATTTACAATGTACTGTACCAGGTTTGCTACCAATTTGAGTTCAAGTTCGTGGTACTTTTTGGGAAGGCACATTTTTATGAAAGGTGAACTTTCATGTAGCGTTTATTATTATTTCTTTTTTAAACAGGTTATACATTTTTACATAACCAAAAAAGAGATAACCGATCCACCAACCGTAATCTACCTTTCTGAGCTAGTTTATAACATTTCATTCTTTGGTAAATGAAGAATGATTTTGTAATTTAAGAAAAAATCTTCAAACAACAATCAATCACTTTATAATTTATGATTTCACTCTTGATGTTACATTATGTGTTCATTTTTACAGTTAGCTATTTATAGTTTTTTTTTTAAATTTTTTATAGTGTTTTTGTGGTCTAAGATTCTTCATAATATATTTTTTGATGTAGCTGGATTTGTTTTAAATTCTGTTACAGTATTTCCAATTCTTATTTTACTTCTTATTATAGTCAAGCATGATGTCATCATTGCAACTCCTCCCAGTGTTATTTGCCTATCTCCCACAGTTCAATATTTTTTCACATAGTGCACGATTGTCTTGATTTATATATATACATAATTTTTTTTGTTACCACGAAGGTTGCTAGGCTAGTGTTTTTCTGTCTGCGGAAAAAGGGCACTCGCCCAATAACCGTTTCTTGACAAGCAGTAATTGAAAAATTAATTTTGTAAAACAAGGTTGATTATAACTTGAAGAAAATTACTTCAATTTCAATATTAATTATAAACAATTAAGGAATTCCTTGAATCAATGAACCCTAATAATAATAAATAATGAACATTTAGTAGGAATATTCTAGACCTATTTTAAGACTCAAGGAATTAAATAAGATGTAGGCCTACCTAGGCAAGATGCTGCCGAAGCCTAGATCGTGTGTAGCCTAGCCTAGAGATGAAATCATCACAAGATTTTACCTGTATGCACTCACCAAAAAGTGATTAGGGCACGGTGTATTCTGTCAAGTGCTTTATTAAGGAATGTTTATTTCTTTGATCAAAATAGCATTTCAAGTTCTTCAAACACAATCAAATTAGTTATTCATCGTATACAAACTGATGTGTAACGTCTCGCTAGCTATGTGTTAGCGCATACTGCAGGAGCAGTAAATCTAACCTTTGTATAATAATTTTCCACTAGTTTACTATGCGAACCTCTACTAATTGCTTATTAATCCCAGACTCGCCAATCAACAAGCTCTATTGAGATTCCTTTTTATAACAATCGTTAATTATATTTTTGTCTTTATTTTATTAATTAGGTTGATTTTCATTTTAATTTCATGTTTGGTAAATGTAAATGGCAGTATTGTAAGTCTTTTAATGCTATAGTATACCGTAAAACCTTGAATTGAAGCCCAGTGGGCTTAATCTCGAGATGAAGCCCATCTCGAATTGAAGCCCCCTCTTTAGTTTGCAAAATTAGCTTCGAAAAGAAGCCAATCTCGATAGGTAGGCTTCTTTTCGAGATAGTACAGTACATTGTACATGAATTTCTGAAAACAAACAAAATTAAAAACAAGCTTGGTTTGTACATTATTTTAGGTGATTTAATGCCAGTTAAATACACTCCAAATTCACAAATTTTACAGCACTCATTTTGAAAAGAAGCCCTCCTCTTTACTTTGCAAAAGTAGTCTCGAAAAGAAGTCCATCTCGAAAAGCAGCCCATCTCGAAAAGCAGCCCATCTCGAAAAGAAGCCCATCCAAAGTTCGCAAGAAAAAGAAGCCCAGGGCTTCAATTCAAGGTTTTACGGTACCACACTATAATGACACATTTAATATTACTAACTATATACAGTTAGTAAATATGTTTGCAGGGAATCCAAGTTGGGAAAAGGCACTTCCAGGAGATCATGGTTTAATGAGGTTTCTTAAACACATTTAATTGTATATTTGCTATTTATTTATTTCAGGGAAAAAGTTTAGAGATGAGCATTAAATTGTCTCCATGTAGTGAGCCTCCGCAAATGACATTCATGCTTAAGGATGCAAGTGGAAATATTAATTTCAATAAAAACATTACGCACCAGACTACTTTTAATTTACCCAGTAAGTTTAACATTTTTATTTTTAAATCTAATTTTCCATATACAGGTTTATTAATACAGTATAACATTTTGTATATTTATGGTGGCCATCTTTATATTAATTTTGGGTTTCTTAAATCCTATAATTTTAAAATTAATTATTTATTCATTTCTTCTATTTTATTTATTTTCATTTAAGTTGAGTGTTCCAATAGCTAAATTATATAGGTAACACAAAATCATCAGCACAGCCTGGATTTCCAATAGGGAAAGAACATCATTCAGACTATGTATCCTTGTCTAGGATTTTTACATTTCTGAGATCCAGAGGTCACTCAATCTCAAATTCGGAAATTCCTGCAGATGCAGATTTACCTGTAATTCTGTTTATTTCAGAGCCATAGCAGGAAATGCTAGTTATGAGCCAGGTATTTGGCACAAAAACCATGACCATTCTTCCTTGTTCCAAAAAGTCAATAAGCAGGAACTTTGAATAAGTCACTGTCTATAATAATAAACTTCAATCTTTACCAGTCTATATAGAAACTGAAGAAGAGTTTGATCTACACAAAAACAGGATGCTGTCTACAATGAATTAGGTTGTTATTATTAAAAACATATGTCAAACTACAATAACTGTGCACTGCTACTCAGTTTAAAGTAGTAATCCAAACCTTGATGTACAGGTAACAATATACAGTATAATTCCGTATTAATTTGTTTAGATTCAATGCACCAGTATGAAACGGATGATGGGTAGGAATCCTTTGTCGTATCCTATAGAATTCCTTTTAAAATAATCACCTTTAAAGAGACTCAATGACCTGTGTGCTGTTCTTTCATTCAGGCATTCAGCAAGCTATATCCATTGGAAGGGTGGATCCGGATTTTTTGTATTGTACGTGCAGGTGTGGGGAAATGTTGATGGCACGTACAGTATTTGTATTCTATTTTTTTAAATATCAATACATGACATTGGTATGTATTGATCTGTCCCTGCACTGATACATGGAGATTTTGGAAAAAGATAACAGTGGCAATGTTGGGATTTGCTCAATGGGATGGGGTGCTAAGCTGTCTGAAAGGGAGGTCTGACTGTAACAAAGATGCATTTTAGCATGTATTATGTCTAAAAAAAATTCTCTTTTGGTGTGAGGAATTGTGGCTAACAGCGAGCTTTTCTTATCCAAGGGGGGGGGGGGATTATACCCATCTAGCACCAGTTGGTACTGCCACTGGGTTGAAATTATTAACAAACAGTCAGTGACTCTCTTTTGTCCACATTAACTGGATGAATGATAATCCCAGAAATGTTTTACTTACTACTGAAAAGTGGCTAAGGAAAAAAATTAATTCAAGTCTAGATAAAAAATCACCTCATAATTTTTTTTTTTTTCCAGCTTGAACCCCACTTAATTTCCTCAATTAGTCTCCCTCAAACCTCTAATGCCACTGGTACAGAACCTTCTATTCAGTGTCCTTAACTGTTCATCATCATTAATATATTTTTAAAATTTCTTTCAGCTATTGGTATTATAGAATCCAGCATCAGGGTCGACTTTCAGCCTGTAGCAAATGGAGTTCAATTTGGGGTTTGTTATATATAGCTTGTTGTATTATTATTTTACGTTATGTTGTATTAAATCATGAGGAACAGTTAGTATTCAACATTCAATCAATCTCCCATGTTAGTGCTTCCCACTCTCATGTCATTGTTGTTAGACAAAGCTTTTTATCCATGCCTCTACATCCACCTATGAATACGTTTGCAATTGGTAGGTGAAAATGCAAATGTATTGATTACTAGATTTGTCAGAGTATACTGGGAAATTCTGCAGCCTGGGAACTGAGTATGTTTTATGTAGATTGTTCATCTACAGTAATGCCTAGAGTTAAAACTTCAGGCAGATTCATAAGGGGGGAGGGGGTCACCCTTCCCTCTTCCCTCTTCTCCCACCAAATTTTTGAAACTTAATTGAAGAAAAAAGAAAATTTAATTTAAATTGAAGTCTGAGAGTACCGTTTCTGAGCATCTATAGTTGCCATAGTCATGTTCTACCTCAGTTCCAACTATGTTATGGCTGAGGTGGTGCAATTATAGACCCTTCCATAACATCTATAAAAGTCGATCCTTGTGTGCCCTCAATTTAAAATCACTTAATTCGCCAAGTATCTCTTATCATGCAAATAAATAAAGGTCTTTAAATTGAAAATAATAGAGCACATAATTGATTGGAAAATACTTGCTATGTTAAATTACAAAAGAGATTGTTGGGGAAAAAAAATTCATCTGATTTTCATAATTGTATATTAATATAACACACTGTAATTTTTGACATACAATTTTTGAAACTACAGTATTGAACAACTCTGAAATTGAAACCAATTGCAACATGTGTTTCTTCTAGCTTTTCTTGGTGACATCAACATTAGGTGTGCCAATAACCACTCCAATAGTACCTGACCAGGTGATCAGGACACCACCATGCACTCCTTCATCTGTTCCCAAGGTAACTGGAGGACAGGGTAAGTCACATAATCGTTATCCCGGTTTGAAAAGGAAATTTGTTAACCCCGTGATTGAGCAGTATTTTTTCAATAATGTCGATCAGGTTGTGGCTGAAGCCTGCCCTCAGTGTTTGACAGTAGCAATTACATTTCATCCTATTCTTCTTGTTGTGCATACTTTAATGTTTACCAACTTGCATTATTTTTTGTTGCATTGTTGATAGAATCTTTCTTTTACATTGCCTGACCTGTTTGGGAAAGTTTCTTGTTAATTTTTTGTATTTTTAATGAATATCTTGCATTACTAATTGATTGATATATTAGTTTTTATTGTAATATGTGCATATTATATAACTAATTATTGTCATCATTAATCAATGTTTCAAGATTATAAATCTGTAATCTACTCAACATCATGTATTAAGTGTCTCAAAAGATTAGTTATGAAGTGATTTGATAAGGAAGTAAATTTGATAAGGAGGTAAAAAAACAAGTACACATGCGTTTAAATTTCTTAATGTGTAGAGGATTGTTATTTTTTAATTTTTCCTAGTCTGTAAGTTTGTTCGGTAGTAAGAATTTTATGTGTTTGATTACTTTATTCTGGGCATATAAAGATAGCAGCAGGCCCGTAGGCAGGATGGGGGTGTATTTACAAGCGGAGTGAGCCTTATAAGCTGAGGTCACCCAGGGCCCTTGGTGGGGTCTAGGGAAGAGCGCTGGCAGGGATCCAAGTGAAAATCCCCGGAATCTCTGACAAAGTAGCATTTTGATGACCTTAATTTATTTCTGAAATCCATAATTTGTGAAAATTCTATTTAAATTTCCATTCATGTGGTTGTTGTTAGGAAGCTGAAGACATTATTGTATATCATTTTATGTCCATTACATTTGTAGTCTTAAATTGTAACATTGTTTATATGGATAAATTTGCATTCACCGGAGCTGATCAATTTCCAACAAAGTTTTGTCCAAACTGATGTATTATTGTATAGTATGTTTAGTATGTCCCCAAAATTATCGCACGTGATGCAGGTGGGAATTGAACCCACAACCTTCAGATAACAAGTCTGGTATTGTAACCACTAGATCACTGAGCTTATGCTTAGTGACTAATGGTTAATTTCATGTGATGAATAGCATGCAATAGGCTTACCTGCTGCAAAATAATGTTGTTAATATCCAAATCATTTGATCCTTACATTGAAAGTATTTCAAAGGCTTAAACTGTATGAAAGAAGGAAGATGGAAGTGAAATTGAAAGAATAAGAAAATGGAATGCTGGTGATATACAGAGAGGAATCAGGAAATGAAGCGAGGTCGGGGAGATTATCGAAGAGAAGCAAAGATTAGTGGCAGTATGTCCGAGAGAAGGAAAAGAAGATAAGTTAGGCAGTTTATTGGAAAGAAGAAAAGATTAATAAAATTGAGACATGTCAGAGAGTTTATAGGAGAAAATTAAATATTTAAGGAATTTGACATAGGTTAGGGAGTGTATTAAAGATAAAATTTTATTAGAAAAACAAAGAGTTATAGATTATAATAGAAAAGGTGGAAATATTATGAAAAGAAAAGCTTGTTACGGATTTTATGAGAGAGAAAGTAAAATTTAACCCAGAGCTACCACATTCATCTGGCAAATAAAATTAGCAGGAATACCATCAGCATTTAAAAAAAAATTATATAAATATGAATTCCTTCATTTAGTTTTGGCTCTAGGAGTTGGCAGTGAGAGAAAATGTACAGATATGGATGATATGTTAAGCCAAGCGCAAATACCAGACGGATTTGACTGCCAAAGCCACCAAAACTGCAATGGCTTCCGGTGTAATGGAACAGTACAGGTAAACAGGTTGTAAGGGAATGTCGGTGCTAAGGTGTACATAACATGGCCATAGCTTCCAAATCTGTTAACCCTGCGCTTTTATTTCTAATTCAATTGTTAGTAGTTATATGGCAAAGAAAATATTCTGTGTACAGTAATATAATTATAGCAGTAATAATAATAATAACGATAATAATAATAGAGTGCATATTATGGAGACTCTATTTACTTAACGCAAACATGAAAAACAAAAAACGGACCAAGAAAATAATGCTTAACTATAAGGTTGGTTGGCTGTTGATTATTTCATTAATCATTTAGTTTTTTAAAGTAGTTGAAGATTGTACATCTGTATTCAGTTTATTTCATAATTCCACAGTAATATATCTTTTTTAATACTGTAGTAATGAGCCATTTTATAGTTTCATTTATGCACGTTTGTGTCAAAGGTCATGCAACATAAACCAACAAATCACACAGCATAGGACCAATGTTGAATTTTGATAATTTTGACTGTTTTATATAATGATAGTTATTGAGAATTGTTAAGTAATTTAATAATATATAAAAATTCAGATGATACTGTGAAGCTGTGTGAATGTTGACCTTTGACATAGATACGCACAGTTGATTCTATTGAAGGCTTATATATTTATAGTGTAATAATAAACACTGAATGACAACACTGTACGCTTCAGCGGTAAACACTTCAATATTCTTTTCATCATTATCATGGAAAACATCATATGTACAGTTTCATTAAACAACCAAGTGATCATAGAAATTGAAAACACACTAAAATCGTTACATAACAGTGAATACCTTCAAGTTAGTATTCAATTGAAAATATTGTTGCATGGATTACTTAAAAATTAAACTGTATATAATGTGCTTCCCCCCCCTGTATTGTACCCATAGTAGAATTATGAGAAACTGCGTATTATCCCTTTGTGTAGGACTAATTGATGGGAAATATTGGTGCATAGACCTTGGTATTATGCGCTATATAAATTTCACTACATATATATAATATACAAAAGTTTCACTATCCTTGTATCATTGATAATATTTTTGAAGGCATAAACCTGAAATGTTGGCATGTAGTTATTTTATTTCAATTATTAGACATAAATGTTGCATTATATTATATATTTTTATTTATAAATTTTTTCCTGACATTTTAATATATCATATTACTGTATTGTTAGCAGAATTTTGAGCCCGTAGCTGTCTTATAAAATTACAATTTATTTTTGAATTTGTGGATGAAAAGCAATGTTCCTAACTATGAGCATAACAATTGTCATTACAGAGTCAGGATCTACAGCTTTCATTGTATATGGATCCTTGTAGTACACCGGTGTCGTATAACATCACAATTACAAGTGCATCGTTGGGTCTAGTTTGGTCGCACAACTTTACGCACACGGAAACGGTTGATATTACCCCAAGTACGTAAACAACTTGAATTTTCATATTCGCAGTTTGAGTTGCTTATTATTATTATCATTATTGCAGTGTATAGAGCACAATGTATAGAAGTGCCCTTTTTAACTTCTCAAAGATAAATAGGGAAAGGTAAATATATACCCCTGCTTATAATTATGTTATGTCATATTTTGGGAGTCCACCATGCTGCAAGTTTTAATGTCTAATACACAGAAATTTCTGATAAAACTACAGTAGAAACAATGGTTGATAAAAAAAAACACTAGTCTCAAATTTATTGCATAATATAAAGAGCAATATTGTGCAATGTAACTATACATTTAAAAATTATTGGAATATAAAATCTTGTTGCTTTTATTATCTTTTTTATATTATTAAAGATTACATTTTTTTTTTTACAATGGCAAAATCCTGAGGTGAGACAATCTTCCATGTCTAAAGTTATAATAATAGAAGATACTGAAAGAATTAATAGTTGAATTTGAAGTTGTATTTTTAAAACGAAGACCTCCTGAGCCTTGAGACAGAGTTCAGTTGTCTTGTAATTTTTGTTGGAAATTCTTAGAATGTTTTTACCGTAAACTCTGTCACTATAAGTTGATTAGACCATATAATAACACTGTATCCCATTCCACTTTCTTTTGGAGTTCATCCTTTTTTTGTTTCTTATTTTTAATAGATGAAAAAAACAATTACCCCAGAATTTGTTCTCTAATTTTCTGTTAAAAATAGGTTGTCAACATATATTCGTTTTTGTGTGATTATCTGTTGACTAAAATAAAACTATCATTGTAAATTCACTATTGACAAGAGACTGCATCATTTAATTTAATGAAATTTCAAACTAGAAACAAAAATTATACTTTTATTTAGCCTTACTCTAATAAATGATACCTTTACAGTTGCTGGGATTAAAGTCTTTCTTCCATAGAATTATTCCCATATGGAATCAGCTACCATACTATCAGGTCTACACCATTTCTTTCACTGTTCAAGAAGCATGCTCGTAAATTCTATGATAACATATCTCTCAATATTTTATTTAATTTTTATTTAATACTTGTAAGTGTGTCTCGGTGCAGACATCAATAGACAACGAATTTCTGTCACTGTTGCTGCCTTTACTGGTCATTTCTGAACCTGTTACATACCTCGTGTGGGAATGGTTCTCATTTTTCAATTCAGATTATGTGCAATTTTGATGTCATATATATTGTAGTTAAAATAAATTAATAATAATTTAATTATTTAATAACTTCTCTTTTTATTATATCTAATGTTTGTATATGTAAATCAATAAATAATAATAATTCAAAATTGTGTCTGCCTCGTAAGTAGTTTAAAATTTATATTTTATTATGTCCAATGAATTTCTTTTAATGTGGAACTTTCCACGTCTCTTTTTGTTTAATGTGATTTTTATGTGTCCAAGGGGGATGTAGATATAGGTGCTTGACACTTCTTCATCCCATCCTTTTCATTTATCCAATATAGCTATTTTTTAAGTATATATTCACATAAACACATAATGTTAACTTAATATCATTTTCTCAAGTTCTTGTGACATTTCAAATCAATTGATTGGAGTACTATAGTATAAAATTATATACAGTTAGGGCTTACCAATCTGACAAATACCACCTATCTGATTTTGAGGTAATGGCACCGTATAATTGTTATAGGGAGATCTGAAATCCAACACTGAGATTGTGTATTATAGTGGAAGGGGGATTATGTGAGGGGTAAGGAATAGCATAAAATTCAAATAATGTTCAGTTCAGATTATTTATAGTTGGGAGAAGAGACAGGAAGGCCAGCAAAATAAGTAAATACATCCAGATTGTATTATGTACGTCATTCAATTTTCATATAATTAGTAGTCCCCTCTTCCTTAATTACTCACTCAATTTCCTAATAAGGGACATTGCTATGCTTACTTGGTAATAGGTTATTGATACTTTCACATTCTCAAAGGAACAAGAATGCAAAATAAAAATATGTTTATCACTAGTGTTCAATATCTGTAAGGTCAGGTTAATAGCTGTGTACTTTTAACTCTTGTATGCTATTCCATAAAATACTTTGTAATATTTTGTCACAATGTTGTCTGTAAATCAAATTATAAATTGACCCAGTGAATTAAATTCAAAATAGAATAGAAGAATAAGAATTAACCATAAAAGGAGTTCAACATCAGGAAGATCAGTTAAATCATCATCGTTCAGATCAACTTCATAATTGTCAACATTCCTCGTAAATTCAGTGGACGATTTTCTTGACTGTCTTCCTTGTTCACATCAGTTCATTCACCATAAAAGGAAACAAATAATAAAAGAAGATGAAAACTTTTGGTGGTATGCTAGGTCAAATACATTTGCCCATCAATACAAACACTATGAGCATTTGATCAAACTAGCCCAAAGTTGTGTACAGACAGCGTTTTAGTTGTGGCAGCAGCAGAGGCCCAGAGCTTATGCCCACTTTTTCCATCTGATAGGCCAAGTACCCAGTTGGCCACGACTCATTGGATGAAAAAAAAAATTCAATTTGTTTCTCTATGCAATAAAAAAAAAGTAGGCGTATTATGTATTAAACTTCTCAAAACAGCTTGAAATGGCCCAACATTGCCCGGTGTTTCTAGGTGGGTTTAGCCCAGCGTGCCCACTAGGGCTTCGCTGGTTAACTTTGTTTGTCCGTAAAAAGTTATCATACTTGATCAGACAGTTTAGCTTCCCTTCTCATTCTTAATTTCTCTTTTACATTTATACAGGTGGATCTTCAATCAACTACTACTTGGATTTGACAATGACCCCAGACCCAAATACAAACACCATCGCCACATCAGTATGTAACATTTCTTTAACAAATTTAATGAGGGCAGCATACATGGTTTATAAAAATTGCATATATTTCTATAGAGGGCAGCATAGTATTTCCCATGAAATAATTGTTCATTAAATAATTCAATGATTAAAAAGTAAATAATATGGTGACATCATTATAATAATATTTGGTAATAATCAAATACAGGTCTCCCTCTAATTAAAGACCTTTTCAATTAGAGAGCACTTTTCTTTGATCCCAAATATATAATTATCTTTTGTCTTTATTCTAATTAGATACTGCTAAAGGTCATGGAATTCCCGGCCCCAAAATTCGTCTTTTATTTGAGGGAAACCTGTATTTGCAGTTCACTGAGTTATAAAAACATGATTTAACTTTAGAGGCTTTGTGTAAGAAAGTATTTTTAATACATGGTAAAATACCAAAATTGATGTATTAGTGAATCAAAAGTTAGTTTGATATTTTGATAAATTTATTTGCTTTCTTTTTTTCTCCCTTGAAATACAGATTACAATCCGAGGTTGCACATCAGTTTTTGACCGTCAGATATGTCCACTTAATAAGGTTCTTCTTGATAGCCTACCAGTTCCTGTGCCCCCATGTGGTCAGTATAGTTGTGCATTGTCAACATCATTGTTGTATTATTTTTTTTTTTTTTGTATTATTTAACCCTTTCCAGTCTACCCCATTACCATTGCCTGAGGCTGTACCAAAGCTGAGAAATTACATCATCTACACTAAATGTTGGGTTTTTACTGGGTGCAGGAATTTTATTTGGTCTGAATACAGGAGGCCCTCTACAGAAATACTCCTACATCACTCTCAAACAATCCTATAGAGGGCAGCCTAGCTATAAAAAAAATTATCATTAAATCTATACAGGGCATACGTATGACGCCCTTCGCTATAAAGTGTGGTCAAAGAGGGCGTTGTCGCGACGTCATACGACTGGAAAGGGTTAAAAGTGCATTTTTATTTCATACATTTGAAGTGAGTGTTTAAAGGACTCCTTCTTTATCTTTTATTTGGATTATTAAAATCTTCAGTTTTTTTTCAGTTTTTTTTCCATTGCTTGGATAGTAAAAAACCATTGCTAAATATTATTTATTTTCCACCTAAAAGAGGTTCCCACTTTGTGTTGGGCCCTTGGCCGTAGTTCTCTCTTGACATTATTGTCAAATTTGTAATAAATAAATAAATAAACCAGTGGTGGCACCAGCATTTGCCCGATGGGGGTCCGATGTCCCGACAGGGGAGGGGTGCATGGTCAGGCGTCGCTCAAAATCTCTCTAAAGTGTTCCAGGGGTTGAAGCCCCAAAATACAAGGATACAAGGATACTTTATGCATCCCACTACAGGGAAATTTTATTTCCTAGATACAACAACGTGAAAAAGCTTAAGACTAAAAAAAACGTATATATATAAACAAAAATTAAAAAAATAAAATATATGATAATTTAGGGGTTTCAAAGGCTTACAGTATTTAATCGATTTTGAAGTCTACTACTATGTAGAAAATACATGTACATTTCTTTTCTCGCCGACGAATTGTGGTTTGTTCTTTCCACCCTCTGAAAATCTTTCAAAATAAAGTTCTGTAAAGCAAGGTATAAAAAAACATCATTTTAAACATCATGATTGTACTGTCTCTATCACTGGAATTTGCTCTGGAGTGCATGTGTAAGGAATGTGTAGGGGTCCCATGCCCCAGAATCATTATCAGCTATTTATTGTTTCATGAATTAACTGCTAAATTGCCATCTTCTCTTTAGCATCAGCACTGCCATCATCCTCACCAACATCATCGTTTGTCATGGCAACCACTCCTCATAAACATCCAATGATCAGTTCAAGCCCCACCACATCGACTGAATGTACTGCCTGGGCTGGTATAGTTCACGATATGTTGCAAACAGCCAATGGATTTGGAACCACGACCTGCAATGTCACTACAAACTGTACTGGCATAGTCTGTCTTGATGTGTTATTGGTAAGTCCAGTCAATCAATGTAATGTAGTTAGATTTATATAGTGCTTTGTACCGAAACTTACTCAAAGCACTCAAGGTGCGGACTAGCTCTTGCAGTAACTTGCTTCTTAACTTGGGTCTCTTCGTCTCTGAGCTACCCGGCAAACTGATACCAGCTGCTCTTCGTCTGTCCACAATAGGGGCTGAATATGCATGTACACCGGGGCAACCCCCTGCTCATCAGTACTGGGTTCTTCTAAGTACACACAAGCCAAATTGTGTACTGGGTTGCGGTTTATTGTCCTTATCCGAGAAGGCTTGTTCCACCACCAGAACCATAGGCGAGCATGCTGTTCCAACCAGCTTTGATATTATGCCTTGCCTTAACTGCTTGGCCATCCAACTCGCTTAATTGATCAATGAGTCAGTTGTTTAATATCAACTTAAAAGCAGAACTTCGTAACATTAGAAAATTTGTCATGGAATAAAAAGTTCCTTTAAAAGTTGTTAACCATGTACTCAATAAATTAAATGAACCTAAATGTATACATAGGCCTACTGATGATAGCTTGATTAAGATTTGGGTTAGATTGCCTTATCTAGGAAAGGCAGGTGAATCCATTTTACGTAGATGCTTAAACAAAGTAAAGAAACACTTAGTTAAAGAGGTAAAATTCATAAATTTATGGCAGTACAAAAATATGTCTCATTTTATATCTACTGAAGATCAAACCCCTAAGGAATATAGGAGCTCTGTTGTTTATCATTTTAAATGTCCAGGTGGTAATAGTGATTATATTGGTAAGACAGATAGATGCATAACTAGACTTCAAAGAACATTCTCCACGATCCGATAGTGTTATAAATGATCATAATATATACAAAATTGTGAGGCATTCCAATATGTTTTAGGTTTACAAGGTATACTTGAAAAATATAATGTAGCCTGTAATGTAAGTAATAAATTAGGTTTAATATTTTCTAATACTAACATTATTGACAGTTCGCAAAACTGGCCTATACTACTGTTTAAAAAAGCGTTTGCTATATGTAGGCTACACCCATTGCTTAACAATGGGCTGAAAGCTTCAAAGGAGCTTTCTTTGTTTTTGCAGGTAGCTTTGATCAGTAATGTAGTAATGCTTTGATCTTTAGTTTATTCATAGCTATGGTAATGTTTTGATTTGTCAAACACTTATGGTACTTGTGCATATAAGCTTGCTAATATGGATAATTTTTCATTTCTGATGATGACATAATTAATGTCGAAATATTGAATCCCGACATGATGGCGTGCATTTCTATACTTGGAGTAGGTATTATACTATCTAATATTAATTTAGTCAATAAGTCAATATGTTAATCTATTAATCAATAGTAATTCAATCAGTCTTAATAAATTAATAAATTTATATGACTATTGATCAGATGATAGTCTCTCAATTTACAAATAAGATATCAATTTATAAGTCAGTCCATCAATCAATCAATCATTAAATCAGTTAATAAATCAGTCAATTAATTGTTAAGTCATTTGGATCTATTATTACAAAATTTAATTCCAATGATGTGCCTGTTTGCGCTTACTAATGAAATTTGAGCCCTCCTTAGTTCATATGAACCTGAATTAGATATTAATTTTCTTCGTAATTGTTTTCTGAGACAGAGTGTTATAGTATTTGTTTCTGATACTGTTTTTATTTTTACTGTTTGGGCTTTCAATGTCGAAATCAGCATCAGCGACCAAAACGAGAAAATTTACTTTCTAATATATTCACATTCTCTACATTATTAGCTTTAAAATTTCATTTTCATTTCATTTCTTCAGGCACGAGGGCCAAGGATATGCCGATAAGTGAACTTAATCACAGTCCTACATGGCATATCCATTTAACAACTGGGGACTTATGGACCAGTACACCGGGGTAACCCCCTACTCTTCTCGAATGATGTACCGGATTCTTTAAAGTGCACACGAGCCAAATGCGTACACTGGGCCTACAGTTTAAAGTCCTTATCCGAGAAGACTTGTTCCACCACCGGAACCATTGGCGAGTGAGTCGTTCGAACCAGCGCCGATATTAGAGCTGAAGGTTATGGTGTCCCTGACTTAACTGCTCGGCCAATCAACTCGCCTGGTAAAGGATGATAGGTCCTTTACTGGCATCGACTTGTTATTGCCAAAGTTATGAGTAGCAGTATTTGGCCTTCTTTTTACTAAAGTATACAATATTGCCATAGCGAAAGTACTCTGGTTTTGGATTGGCAAGCCTCATTTTTTTTAAAACTATTTGTCTTGATTACTATTGTTATTTTTATTATGTTTATTTCTATTATCATTATGTTAAGTTGCCTATATATTTTTCGGAATGATTGATATTGAAATATTTAGATTTTCCTTCAATTTTTATTCATCTTGAAGTAACATCTTTCTCTTTATCTTTCTAGGATCATGAATATTTGGCTCGAATGGACCTACGACACTGTGTGACCCCAGTTGAACTCTGGATGAGTATCAAGAGTGATGATGGGAAGGTCGACTGGCAACAGACTTTTACTCACGGTGATACTGTTGGAATACCAGGTCACTGAGTTTTTTATCTCTGACATTAAACAGTACATTAGGTAGTTTTTAATTTGCGACGATGTAGAACATAATGACGTCATGTCAACTTAAACTCGCATGTCTGAAAATAGTGCTGGCCGAATCAACATTCTAGCCAAAACGAGTACTGTACTGTATTTAGCATTGGTGCATCAGTCTTTGCTTTTTATGACGTCTCCGTGTATGCGTCGTAAAGCTTCAAAAATAATTTACAGTACAACATAGAATGCACACGATGACAGTCACGGATGAGTGAATTCGTTCTATTGTTCTCGTTCTAGATTCTTTGTTGAAAGCTCCCTGATGCATTATTCTTGACATATTCAAAACTGAAGGATTGATATTAAAGGTTACATATTTATACAGGCCTGGAAAAATGTGTGTGCCTCTGACCATGAAATTTAACTTGATAAAATGCCTTCAGCACCAAATGTGGCAAAAACAAGCCAAACCAATCACTCGTCGCAAATCATGTTTCAAAGATAATAAATAAAACATGCTGATTTCAAAAAAAATTTTGAAATCTATTTTATTACACTATCCTAACCTTCATATATTTATACATTATATTATGTTGTTATTTTCCCAATTTTCAGTGTTAAAACAACAGTTCTTAGCAAATTTTGTGATGGTTTCCATCTGAGAAATGCCTGAAATCGTAAAATTTGAGGGCTGATTTCTCAAATATCGTTTTTTAAACAGCTGTATCTTTGAACTCCTGTAATTTCATGACAAAATGTCAGATTTAAATTATTCATTTACCATTTCATATCTCTCATTTAATTGTTTAACCCTGTATTATTAAAAATCAATTTTTTACAAGGAGTGGTTTAGCTTGTCTTTGCCATAAGTGGTATCTCTACACTATATAGCCCAGCAGTTTTTTGTTTTTTTTTTGTTTTCCCCCAAAATGCCTATGGGACATTCATGCTGCCTCCAACTGCCGGTTGTGCTCCTTATCCAGCCCTGTATTTAAGCCTATTTTCCACTTGCAAATTTATTCACGCAAATCAAAAGCGTTGGTTGATGTGCATGTGCATTCACATTTCTATAGGAGTTTTCGCTTCAGCGAAATCGGTAGTTTGAACTGTTTCTACTTTTTGCGAAGTGCAAAAAATGCGCAACCAATCAGAGCTCAGGAATCGAACCAACGCCTTTGGTTCGCGTGAATAAATTCGCCTAGTGGAAAACAGGATTTATACCATGCAAAATGAACAGAAAATGTAATTTGTTTAGGTAGAGATGAACAAAAGTTAGATAAAAAATTTATACAACATATTATACAAGATAGGCTGTGAAAACACACAATCAAGAATTCATAGAAATGTTAGTCAAGTGAATTTCAGTAAAAAAAAAGTTATACCTGATTCCTGTGAGATGAAGTGTTACATGGGATGTTTGTTAAATCATTTTACACAGACTTCTTACAAAAAGATACTCCTCGTCTTTATATTAGATTCAATCCAACCTTGCTAAATGTCTGTGCAACTGGATGGGAGTCCACACCCATCTTAGCCCCACGATGTTTCATTTTTTTCCCCCACATTTTTTACAGTGGCTCCCCGACGGCTGGGTTCTGGCAAAGCCCTCCCACCCACTGGCGCCACTCCTGCTGTACTATTTACACACAGACATTAAGGATAAGTACAATAATTCATTTATGTATTCCTCAACAGGTACATCTGATGCTGCATCATTTGTTGTCACTCTTGGGAAACCTGATGACCAACATGTTGAATTGGGGTTGAAGTTAATTTTCAACAAACATGGATTATCTTATTCTGAACAACTTATTGAAAATCAGTTGATACCAGTTGAACCATGCAATGGTAAAATTATGTACACTGAATTTAAATGTGTAATAGTAGAAGTCTGAAGTAAGCTGTGCAATGGTAGCAATATATACTAAAAGAAAGTTTGTAGTGTCAAAAGTATAAGAGGGATGGTATGAAATGATTCAATTGTGATTTAAAATGGACATTAATATGATTTTAAGTTGTGATTGAGGAGGAAGTGGTAACAAATAATTATTTTATTTAAGAATAGGGAGAAAAAGTGATTCAATTTTGATTAAAAGAGAACTAGCAAAATGATCTTTCGTTTTAGAGGAGATTTTAGATATGCCATTAATAATAGAATCAACCTTAAAATCGTTATTTGGCAATTTTTTATGAAGTTATAGGCCATTATATACGATTTTACCGTGACGTCACTGGCGAAAAAAGTAACAAAAGGTTGTGTATATAGCGCCGCGTAGGGTATCCACTGCGTACGACCTTTGCGTGCATGCTGCAACCATGGTTGTTATAACTTGCATATCAGGTCATAGGCCTATAACTGCATTAGCCATTGTCAACAAATGAGTTACAGCCATGGTTACAGCATGCACGCAAAGATTGTACGCGGCGGATACCTACGCGGTTTTATTTGCATGATCTTTTGTTACATTTTTCGCCAGTAACGTCACGATTAAATAATATATAATGGCCTATAACCTGATAAGAAATTGCCAAAAAACGATTTTAAGGTTGATTCTATTATAAATGGCATATCAAAATTCCCCTCTAGAACAAAAAATCATTTTGCTAGTTCTCTTTTAAAGAGGGCTGATAGCAATAATCCATTCAGTTGTTGTGGTGGGGGGTGAGGTGGTAACAAAGGATGTAATTCTGATTTAGGAGAGTTGGTAACAAATAATGTAATTGTGATATAAGAAGTAGTAATAAGAGACTTAATTGTGTTTTAATTTCAACCATTACTTTTGTATTTATTTTTTCATCTGTTACATTCTAATGTATGTTCTTTTAATATAATTGATGACTGCAATTTCAGCATGTTTCTCTCTTAGGAACCATTTGTTATTTTCATCATTTTCTCAAAAGTACAAAACATACATTTCAGTGTTGAGCTGAGGTGGGGTGGGGTAGACAGTGCAGGTATATTTACTCTTTTATGAAAAAGATAATATGATGGTTTAAAAATATCAAAAATCATCATTTTATTTTTGTACTCTTTCATTGTTGGGGATGGGGGAAAAGTGGGGTCATACAAATTAGTATGTTTTGTAAATGTTTTTGTGAAAATGATAAATAATAGATGGCCCTAATAATACCCACCATTAACATTTCTGCATCTTGGGCATCTTGTTCCAGGTATTAATTCTACTGATGTTTCCATGACAACCAGCAAAAGTGGGAAGACTGACAAAGTAACAGGTAAATGAGTTAACCTGTTGAGTTGATGAGTTGCAGCCCATGAATTTCACATCATCATTCGCCAATTGCCGACCATATTGCCAAGCCAGAATTGCCACAGGATGGCAAATTTTTGCCGAACTAGGCCTAGATTCTTTGGTTCAAAAACTGCTTGGCAAGTCAAAACTTTGACTTAAACAGGCCATAGCAGAAACTAAATTTTATGTACCTTATCAAACCAAGGAAATCAGTTCGTAAAACAGATTTGTTTGTGCAATAATTATTTTAATATTCATACGTACGATGTCTGTATAATTGTTTTGTCTTTCTCGCCGCCTAGTCATTTCGTAGGCTAGGATGCTAACCTGCCGAGGCCTAGGGCCTAATAGTAAAGCATCGTCTAACTGAAGCCACTTGGGGTGTGTAGGCCTAGGATGCTAACCTGCCGAGGCCTAGGGCCTAATAGTAACTGAAGCCACTTGGGGTGTGTAGAATAGATGTAACAGATGTAACAGCCCTTTAGAATAATTGTGTCAATATAGCAATAATTGGAGTATTTGGCCAACTGGGCTTCTCAGGATGATTATCTAAACATGATACTTCTGGGGCAGTTCAGAGAGGTTGATGGTCGCTGACGCCTGGATCCCACTTCCCCTCATCCTAACAATAGTAATAATAATATGTTAGATTTATATAGCGCTTAATGCCAACAAGGCCTCTAAGCGCTTCACATTACTACACCCGGTCATTGGATTAATTAAACGCCTATGGAACACAAACTCAAGCTCCCTGGGGGAGTATCCCATAAAGTTGCAGCAGCTACATGAGCGCATTGTGGCATTTAACCCTAACAGGTACCCATTTATACTCCTGGGTGGAGAGTATAAATGGGTGTTACAGTGCTTTTTTAGCAGGCAAAAAACTGTACAGATGTTCATAAATAGTCAGCAGCTTTTTTTTTAGGGGGGAGGAAGATGGGGGATCATTTATTATAATATTTTTCAGGCTTATCTAATATTATTTTTGGATTTCAAGTCTCTCAAAAGATTGAACTCTATAAGCTCCAACCCACTTTGAAATCCCATACCCTATTTGTAGTATCTTAAAATTAAATTTCATTATAATAAACTTAAATTGCATGATACCCTATCATCACTATCTATAGAAATGAACAATAAACAGTTATCTCCCTTAAATCAGTTGGTTATCAGCAGGTAATCAGTACATTGTAAAGACCTTTGTACTCTTGGCTGTAATGAGTCTGTTATTGGTATTCATTGGGTTATGACTATGGATTGATGTCGGAGCAAACACATTAAAATATACACTGTTTCCCTGTGCATTTCTCAACTGGATATATACGCCTCCATGGTTACACCTGTGCTCATTAAAAATGTTGTATGATTCAGGTATTGTACCCCAAGTGTTGATGTTCATACCTTGGATATTAATGTGTTGTTTGGAATGTGTCTATGTTTTTGACTGGCTGCAAGTACTGTATAGGATAATTAATGGACGTGGAGAGCTGTAATTGTTGGCTAAGCTGGGGTGGATGCAGGATTTGGTGGTAGGGGGTGCGGGGGAAGTCCGCACCACCTTAGCCCCACCATAGTAAGGGGCTGAGGTGTGAAAATTTTGAGAATATGGGCCTCTAGGTACCCAGAAATTACACTCTCATACCTTAAAAATCTTAACCCGTAATTTATATCAGCGATATAGTACAATTATTTTTCTTAAATACAATTTAAGGGGGTGCACCCCCACCTAAATCCGCCCCAGCCAAGTTGGTTTCATTCTATTTCCAGAGTCGTCGCTTTCATTCCTATCATTCTTAAGAGGATTTTTTCATGACTAAAAACTAGTTCACTTTCATAATCTCATAATGAAGCTTATTTCCTAGTAGTTTTTCTGTATCCATTTTAGTCAACACCACCTCCCCTTCCCAACTATATTTTTACCAATAAAATGGTATATGTTCTACCCCCTTAAAATGTGTTGCTTTTCTTGTTCTTTATCATTTTTTTTTTTTTTTTTTAGGTGGGCCAACTATGAAAGTTTATGGGATGACAACAGGCAAAATAGGAAATGATAAACCAAACCAAGTTCCTGTTGTAGATGGAGATTCCAGTAATAGTGAGTACTTTTTATATCTCATTAGCTTGTCTGGGTTTTTACTACTTTTGAAACACCTTCAAAACCTTCAGTTGGATACTTTCTGGTAATTACAGTTTAGATATATAGAGTAGGTTTAAATATATAAATTGAAATGCATTATCAAAATAACCATGAAATTTAACTATCAAAACTTTAAAAATATAGTAAAAACAGAAGCAAACTATGCTGCAAAACATTAGTACATCAGAAACACATGTGTATAAAAAATAACAATTATCGAATTAAAGATTAGTGCTCAATTTTACGCTATTAGTATCATATCCATGTTTATAAGCATCTTTATTTTTTATTCTTTCCCATTTCCAAACATCTCTACACTTGTCTTTACAGTGCATAGAGACTTTTTGTATTTTGCGCTGTATAAATTTAAAACCATTAACCATTAAAATCATTGCTTAAGCCATGTTTGTAGAACCCTGCGTAAGTACCTATTTTAGCCATGATTCATTACTTTCATGTGAATGAACATTGCTTAATACTCAAGTAACACTCAAGAGGCTTAGACACAACATTTTCAGAATAGATAATGAGTCGCGCTTATTTCAATATATAACATTGATAGGCCCCCAATTGGATCCGCTTCTGCCTTTTAACAACTTAAATACCTGAATCATACCTGCTCGATGTTGCCTGTAAACTAACGTTTAATCTTACAAATGATGAAAATTGAGTTCTGTTTAACAAGGTTCAGATGTATATTTTAGATAGGCTACTGGACGTTTTTGAATCTTAGTTGTCAATAAAATAATGTACAGTCTAATAATCTAAAATTCAATCCCATATTTCAGTAAATTATTGTTCTATATATTGACCTTTAAATTTAATGATAATAAACTTTAGAATGTTTATTGTGAAATTTCTGTTGACTAGTTCAATTCAAAGAGCTCATCAGGTTTAGATTGAATTTTTATTTGTCAGAAAGTGTATCTATAAAATTTTAACTTTTCCTTTTTGTGCCAAATGCCACTGTATTTTTTATTTGTATTATGTTTTCAGAGGTACCTCGTTACTAAGGCTTGACATTGCCTTGTGAGGTACCTCTGGGTGAAAAAAAAACTAATGTTGGTAAATTTATTAATATTCTATGATGCAACAATCCCTGATGCAGACCTATCGCATCAGCATTTACCTCACGCAGTCTTGACTTGACAACAAATTGTGTTGGGCTGCGTCATACAATGTTTTCTGACTTGACCTTTGTGCACTTTATGTTGAACAGATCTTAAATAGTGAAAATAGTTTGTTCAACTTGCCTTTGCTCCTACTTTTTTACATTTTCTTGATATTGTTGTTTTCCATCATGAAAAAAGTTTTGAATGTATTTTTTTTTTTTCAGTTGGAGTCGTGCTTGGTGTGTTACTTGCTGGCATGATTGTTCTGTGCGTCATAGCTGGTCTGTTGTATTTCAACCGACGCAGACGAATTTTAAGGGCTGACGAAAGAGCTCTTGTAGAAGACAGTTTTGCTGAAATATAAATCAAGATTTAGCAAATAAAGTGAACAATTTATACTCTAACTTTTGCCTTACCTGGGCTCATAGAAGGCCACTTCATAACAAGGCTATGTTCAGATACATCATTGCAGTAGCATATAGCGGAAGGACTACAGTAATCCAATAATTTCAAATGTCCACCCACAACTAGTAATGCTAGTGTGGGAGTTGCAGCGCCTCTCTTCAGCTACATGCGAATGTTGAGAAAATGTGCATAAAATTGTTATTCTTGATACAAACGAGATATTAGCCAACTTAACATATCCATAGTATTTGTACATGATGCTATTATTCTGGATTCTTATCACCATGATTTAATGGAATAGGTACTGTCTGATTGATAAAGTACTCCTCAAGTTTTGTAACTGTATATTTCAACTGATCTGTTTTCTTTGTCCTTGCCTCAAACTAATTTCAATTAATTAAAAAAAGATACTATCTATTGTAATGGTGTATTGTCCCCTAAAAATGAAAAAAAAATCATAAAAAATAATTTTGAAATTAACTTGGTCATTTTGCGATAACATACAAATTAATAAATTGAGCATAGAAATTATTGAATTAAAAAAATGTGTACCCTGATTTTTATAATGGATAATGATAATGAAAATGATAGGAAAACTTTCAGTGACTGGAAGAGTTTCTATCATGTATTACTGTAATATTATGCGTAAACATTTTTTAAATACTGTATACTAATTTTCATTTTTATGTTGCATGGTTATAGACTAGAAAACTAAGGGTGGGTGATCAAACATTTTAAGGGTGGATGGATGATAACTCAAAATAATAAGAGTGGATTTTTAGGATGGAAAAGTGGGTTAATAAGAGTGGATGGAGGGCCATGAAATTAGCTTAAAACTGGGTGGAAAACTTCAAGGCTGTGTGGCCCCTCCCACCATAACTACATCCCTGTGTTGATATTTTTTTTAACTTCAAAATGAGCAAGTTAATTTTTTTTTAAATATGATTTCTATGAATTGTTTTGGTATTTTTAATGTGACAATACATCTTTAATGTATGTGTCCATATTTCCAGGAGATTCCAAGATTTATGGGAGACTTGGAACTATTGCTATTAAAATCTGTACATCGTATTTTTTATGCCATATGTCTGAACGTAGCTTTGAGTAAAGGAATTGTGTAAATATTTAAATGGCTTTATACAAATTTTATTAGTTAGTTCCTTTACAAACCATTAAGTGTGGCTGCCCAACTAAGTATCTGTATATAAGGGTTTTGTTGAAAATTAATGATGGATCAAGAACAGGGGTCTTGAATGCTCAAATTTGTTGCTATTTTTAAAAAACATTTAATTAAAGATATATTTTAATAACTAAACTTTCATATGTAACTGATGTTTAAATTAAAATTGTTAAAAATGCTAAAAATATCAATCATATGTGTATAGCGTGTACTGCACATATGTATATATGCACATATACATGGTCATTTATGTGTACATTATGTATATGTATATATATTGTATATGCATATCTAATGGTATAATTATATTTGTATTGTATAATATAATTAATTTGTAGAAGTGGTTGGCGCATTGATCGTGGCTTTGACTCCCAACCTTGAAGTCAGGGGTTCAAAACTATCTCTGTGCAAGTCGATTGTGTCCTTGGGCAAGGCACTTTATCTACGTTTGTCTCTCTCTACCCAGGAGTATAAATGGGTACCTGGTAGGATGTTGTGGCATTGAATGTTGTAGTTTCGTGCGAATGACTAGGGATACTTCACAGGGAGCAGAGAATGTTGCACTTTGCCATTGTATGTTATCCAGTTACCCAGAGTAAAAACGCTCGCGCCTTTGATCGTTCAATTTGGAAGTGGTGCCTTATAATTCTTTGGGTATTATTATTATTAATAATATTCTATGTAAATATATCAGCGAGTGAAAAAAAATTTGCTTTAACCAGGATTTGAACCTGGGACCTTCTGCTGTCAATGCACATGCCTTTAACCAACTGGGTCATTGATGCCTTTGGAAATTTGAATCCATTTAAAGCAACTTATCCTTCACACTCTTGCACATGCATAGTTGGACAGCATTTGTCTTTAATGCATTACAAATAACAGAGATAAATATGAAACACCCTCTTAGGCATTTGACGACAAGATTGCTATTGGAAGAAGACTGCATTGGCAAACAAGATATTAAATTACAAAAAGCTTTGAAGAGATGGCAATATGTTGTCAGGAATTATTTATAAACCTTTGTCAAATATACTTAATGTAGATCAATTGAATGGTATTAATTATGGAATAATGTATACAACTTCATATATTGATTTATTTGTATAATATAAATTGATAAATGTTGATATATATTTATTTTCTAAATATTAGTATTTACGTATAGCTATTGATATTTCTGTATACTTGGTACAAACAAAGATATTGTGTTAGTATCTGAGATACAATAAAACAAACTATAACCAGAATGTAGATGTCCTGTTGGAAATGTGTTCCAAGTAAAATATTTGGTAATTTATTAAAAAATAAATCTTTTCATTTTTAACAGAATATTTCATCAAGTATTTTTGTTAGTCATTAACACTTGAATTACCTATTTATATGATTTTTTTTTCAGTATAGTGGTTTGGCACATCAGGATGAGTTTGGTTTCCAAACCTTGAGGTTGGGATTTCAGTCCATCTTGTATCTTTGACCAAGCACTTTATCTGACCAGGAGATAGAGACCATATTGACATCATTGATGCTACTGCATATTCTTGCAAATATGTGTTCGATAGTCTGTCATATTGTCATCTTTCTTTACAGTTTCTTTCAAACAGTTGGTCTATAGAATGCCTATATTATTATTATAGATGGTTATTATTTAATGTTTACTCACATAGTCATATCCATTTAGTACAGATAAGCAACAACCTAGTTTTTGCACCAAGTTTAAACTCCATGTCAGGTTTTTCTATCCAACTCTCCATGATGCTTACATAAAATAGAGGAATACGGTAACTGTATTCCCTCTCGCAATTTTACAATACAACATCTTGATATGATAATACTGCCCTCTTCAGTTTTTTGAAAGATACTACTATCAAAGGTATACCAGTACAATATTATCATTTTGAATTTATGCTGTAAGTATTAATTATGAATAAATATGGCAAAAGGTGGTTTTTTTTGGCATGTTTTCATATAACGATGACATACAATTCTTTATAATTTTATTTTCATTGACGTAATTAGTTACAGTAGAATTGGAACTAATTTATATCAATAATTTGCAATATGCAAATACAATTCATTTATAATATGAAATCAGCAGAAACGTAATTAAAACAACAATAGTTTTATATGTTCCCAATATTGTTTCATGATGCAATGTTAATGAATGAATTAGAATCCTATGAAAGTGCACGAAAAACAAAGAAAAAGAAATCCCCATGGTTAAGGGTCAAAATTGACAAGATTGGTTTATACACATGCAGTAGGCATTACCGATATTCATGCTAAGGATTTGGGGAGAAAATTCTGGTTTATTGCTCAAATTTAAAAATCCAATTTTCATTTTCAACCAATTAATTAAAATTTCAATTTATCCAAAAAACTTCTGGAACAGAGAAGTAAAGTAGTAGCTAGGCCTAGAATAACATTAAAACAATAGAACAATTTAATTAAAATGGACAATTTATTTATACATATATCAGAACAATTAAAATAAAAATGAAGAAAAAATTTGAAAAATTCTCAAAATACAAAATTCAATCAAATAAATAAAAGAGAACAGAACACCTTTTAACAGATACAAGCAAAACAACAAACCATGAAAATGCTTAAACGGACCAAACTACTACTAAACGAAGACGAATTATTTTACTTGATTCAAAAATCTATTTGCACTTCAATTTCAGTTAAAACATTATTATTATTATTATTATTATTGTTATGTAGTCTAACAAAAGATCGCCCTTGACAAACAGCAGTAGAAAGGTGATAATAGTTAGGTGATAAAAGTTTCTTAATAAGTTGCTCAAAATGTGTCAATATATAAAGTTGAGTGAATTTTTCTTATTTTGAGACGGTTGTATTCGTTGTGATAAAATATAAAAAAAATAAAGTGTTACCTTAATAGGGGTTATTTGACCATTTGACACTCAGAAAATGTCCCCATCCACTTAATAGGGGTGTCCCCTTAATAGCGATTGGCCGCAGTGTTAAAAGATATATCGCCCCTCTTTTCACGGAAGTGTCCCCTTAATAAGGGTGTCCCCTGAATAGGGGTGTCTCAAATGAGGGGTTCTACTGTATACACATAATCCCGGGGCAGCGTAGCTGGCAGGGCTCCAAAAGTGGGGGTGGTGTGGGGCTGACTGAGGGACCCGGGAGGGTCCAGGGGCAGAGCCCATTGTGGGTTTGGGGGCGTTTGATGTAATTCTACTCCTAATTCAAATGATTACAGACAATAAGAGTATAGATACAAATATTTTTCCATATTAACATTGATTTTTGTCTCAGGCCCTTGAGCCCCGTTTTCCCACTCGACGATAGGGGATCTGGTCCCGTTTTCCCCCTCTCGACGACAGTGTGGATGATAAAGACATAATGTAATTAATATATATGAATGTAATTTATTTATAAAGAAATAAAAGATATATAAATATAGTATTAACAAATCTAAATTCAAAAGGCATTATACAGGCTTTCAGTCCCGTAAGGTCAGTGGTACTTAATTTTAAAATCACTATATCTTCCAAGTCATAAATGTAAGTTAGTATAAGTATCATGTACATAAATAGGAATAAAAGAATATATACATTAAAGGGCATCACAGAAGAGGCTTTCAGTTGATGCATAATTGAAATCAACTGAATTATATCATAAGCTTAAGTACTGTAAATATAACACATTTTATATAT